CGGCGAAGGGCGCAGGGCGGAGGTGCCCGGGGACAAAACCCCCCCGGGTCACCCACGGTCTGTGCCTCCGCCCGGCGTCTCCCATGGTTTGCTTTGCTTTGGTTCGCAAGCGCGGTTTAATTTCCATGGGCGGAATAGTTACATTTCAAGTTTAGAACAACTTCCCGCACGCCACCAGCTCCCGCCGGCTCTCCCATCCTTGTCCCCGTGGCTGGAAGCACCACCGGGCTAGGAGAGGGGCTGGCAGCTGGGAGCTGTCCCCATGTCCCCATCCCCGGGAGAGACACTGCCGGGCTCCCGCCGCCGCCAGGGCAGGGATTGATCCTGTCTGCTGGGAATTCCGCTGGCAAACACCGGGAAACGGGTAACAGAAAGAAAAGGAAGCCAAAAGACACACAGAGGCGTCAGTAACGGCACAGGGTTTACAGAAGTGAGAGATGCCCACTGGGTTTGCCAGCTGAGAGGGTGAGCAGCTCTGCTGCCCCAGGGCTGCAGCAGGACAGAGGGGCCACTGTGGCACCACGAGAGCAAACCTCTGCTCAGGTGACCCTTCAGACCCAGCACAGGAGCTGGCTGTGAGGTGGCTCACAGGTGTCTGCCAGATGCGGTTAGTAAGTTAGCAGACCAAAAAACCCAAAACCTCTGCCAAAAGTTTGCTTGAGGAACAGATTTTTGGATCTCTGTAGGCGGTGGTTGCTCTCTCTGCCCCACCACCCTGTGCTGTTGCTGCACACCCCTGGCAATGTGGATGGGATGTCCTGGGAGGTGAACAGCCAGCAGCATTCAGCAGCAGGGGCAGCTGAGAGCTTTCATGCACACACTAGACCATGGGTGGTCCCGGATCCCGGAGGAGAGGGGACATTTTACAACACACTTTTAGAAAAGTCATAATATGTTGACCAAAGACATGATGCTCTTTCAGTACAAAGAGTACTGAAAATACTATTTCTCACTATGAGTGAGAAATTTAGTCCCCAAAGCACCTGTGGGCACTGGTTTGCACAGAGATTTGCTGGTGAGGGAGCATCCAAATTTACCCACTCCCAACACACCCCAAAACCTGCCAGTGTTGTTTGCAACAAACACACAAAACCATATCCTGGCCATGGCACACAGGTGTTCTATTCTCCTGGATAAGAGGGAAACCAAACTGTGCTCTGTATGCCATGAGAGCTCCTGGCAGTGAGCAGTGTGAGTAGGTGGGTGAATGGTAAGAGAATGCAGGCCAATTTCTCCCCAGAAAACCGTGGAGATGAAGGCAGGATGGCACTGGAGAGATCTATACAGAGCAGGATCCTCTGTATCTGAATCCTCTCTGACAGGTACCTCTATAAACTGCTCTCAGAACAGCAAAGGATGAGGAGTTTGCAGGTCCCATTAGCAGTCAGCTAGGACATCCCTCTGAGCCAGGAGAAAACATTGCCACGTGTTGAACAGGAATCTCACCATCCCAAGGCTAAAAATTTGTGTGAGATTACAGGAGTGCAAAAGGGGTTGGTCCTGGACAGGATATACAAACATGACATCTCTATCTCTGGTGCCTTTGAGATATAAAGCTGAAGGAGGCCAGGAGAGTGTACACAGAAAAGTGTTTAAGCTCAGCTTTTAGCTGTTGTCAGGCACAGGGCATCATGCTGATCATCGCTCTGGCTAGGCCCCTTACAACTGTTCTTATGGAAATCTCTTCTCTCCTCTAAACCCATTGCATCCTGCCCTGCTACAAAAGCTTTAGTGTTTTGCATAATACTTTGCTTTCATCCCCAGGAATTGCCAGTGTGGTTGCGGGCCATCCCCTGGACACGGTCAAGGTAAAACACTTTGAACTGTGCTCATATGTCACCACCCAAACCTCCACCAGTTCAGACCTTCCCTCTAGCTGATGCCTCAAAGGACCTTATCCCAAAGTGGAATTTGGAATGTTTTCACAGACTTTCTTCCTCTCTAATGCTCATTTTGAATGAGAAACTGAAAGAACTGACTGATACATGCCAGTTCCTCTGTGGAGAATTAATGCTGAAAATTAACCTGGCCTTACTTAATGTGTGGTTCGCTGAACAATTCTGCCAATGTTTTATTGAACTTTGCTACAGACTAGTATTCAAAGGGCAATGAGGGAACAGTATTTGTTTTGCTGCAGGCACATTTTTATGTTTTCCTAGTGCTGGTAACGTTGGAAGGGCAGAGTGCTGAAATTGTTATCCCAGGGCTGTGGCACACAGAGTTTATGATTCCCACCTGATAATTATTCCTCCCAACGGAAGGATTTAGAGAAGCAAGAAGGTATTTGTCAGCATGATGCAGACAAGCCCATGCACACACCAGTGCATCCTGACTCAACCAAACTGACCACCCCTAATGATGCAGAGACAGAGAGGAGGATCCTATTCCTCTTTTTGCCCAGGCATTTCTGGGCAGCTTTCATCACTTTAGCTTCTCTGCCCTTGTTGGGATTGTTCAGCCTGAATAATAGAAGGCTCCAAAGAAATCTTATTTTAGCTTTCCTGTACTTGAAGGGGGCCTAAAATAAAGACATAATTTTTAGCAGGACCCATTGTGATAGGACAAGGGGTTCTGGTTTTAAACAGAAAGAGAGCGGGGTTAGATTAGATACAAGGAAGTCCTGTACAAAAAACGTGGTACAAAAAACACAGGCACAGGCTGCTCAGAGATATGTGGTGATGCCCATCATCTCTGGAAACATTCAAAGGCAGGATGGATGGGGCTCTGAGCAACCTGGTCTAGTTGGAGATGTCCCTGCTCACTGCAGGGAGGCTGAACTAAATGACCTTAAAAGACCCCTTCCAACTCGAGCCGTTCTCCAATTCTGTGACTCTGTTCCTGCTCTGGTTCAAGCCTGGCTTTGGCACCAGTCAGGGCTGCCAGTTGTGGCAAACCCAAAAGCCACTGGTGATGTTGGCACCTTCAAGACCTTTGGAGGGTGATGCCAAGGATGCAGGGCCCAGCATGGCCCACACCACATCCCTTCCCCAAACATCACAGCCATCCCCTTGCAGATACCAGGCTCTCTTGGCATCAGGAGATGCCTGGCCAGCCCTATTCCTTCTGAGCTGCTAAAGTGATGCCAGTTCCAAGGGCATCCCTGTGCAAAGGTGGGTGCAGACCCCACACGGGAGGAGCACAAGGCTGCCCACACCACCCAGCCATGGGCAGAACACAGGCAGCAAAGGCAGGCTCTGCCCAGTGCTGCCAAGGCAATCCCTGTCTCAGGCTGGTGGTCATGGCATCACTGCCTGGTTTGGGGGAGCTTGGCTATGAGAATCCTGCTTGGAAACATCGAGTTTCTGGATGCCAAGAAAGAGCAAGCCCATCCTTCACTGGTTATAATGACAACTGTCAGGCTGCCCCCTCTGCTGCTCTTGGCTTTGGGCAAGGTTTTGCCTTGGGAATACCAAGTAGGCAGACTTGTTATGTTCCAGATTCAGGAACAGGAAAGTGGAAAAGAGCTTTTGCACGGCACTAGGCCAGCAAAGGGGCTGCTCAGAAGTGTTTGCAGCCTCCAGGGGATCAGGGGGCTTTCCCCATCTGGGGGAGGAGGCAGAACTGAGTATAAGGCTCTGTGGGGTAAGTGGCATCTACAGCACAGATCCCATCAGGCCAGCCCCCTTCAGCCATCTCTTTCCATTGCTGCAGCTTCCATCAAACTCCAGCAGCTGTTTTTTCCTACCTCCTGGCAAAACTCTAAAAGTTGTGCCTTTACTTACTTTTCATCCTACCCATTGCATTCATTTCCCCAGAACATTCTTCAGCATCTGGGTGTCACCCAAGAGTGCTATCTAATCAAGACATAACAAAAAGGAGAACTTTCCAGAGGTATATCCATACTGGTAGTAGCTGACTTTGTCACAGATGCCAGCAGGGATTTCAGTGCCAGGTGTTAACAGATTAGCTAAGGGACATGTGTGTGACAACCAGATTGTGAGGACACTCAGCTGCCCCCAGTTACTCAAAAAATATATTAACTTGAATCTCTAAATACCTGGTTACTGGGTAAAAGAAAAAAAACAACAAACAAACAAGCCTATGAAGTCAAAGTGGAAATGTCTGGGCTAAACTGAAGCCAGGAGGGAACTCAGGGCTGGGCACTGAGGTCACCTTGTCCTGGGTCACTCGGGGTCCAGCCGCCTTCCCCTGTCCCGTTATCCCCAGTGTGAGTCACAGTGTGCCCAGTCTGCACCCATGGCCTGGGCCTGCCCACATTGCACAACATGTGCTGTGTGAGCCATGGCAGCATCTTCATGTACCAGCTTGTTCTGAGTGCTCAGTAAATATTCTGCTTTTGCTGCTGCCTCTCTGTGGCCTCTGGCCAGGCCTGGAGAGGAGCAGGGATACTCCATGTGTGCATATAGCTGCATGGAGCCATTCTGGGGTGAGGGGTGAGCTGAGGGGTGAACACAGACTTTGGTCCCTCCTGCTCCTGCCAGGGACCCACAGCAGCACTGACAGCCTGTTGCAGAGCTCTGGACCAAATGATTGTGCCATCCAACCTGCTGTTTGCCATCCAAAAGCTCCCACCAGTCGTGAACTCTGGCAGACACGCATTTCTTTGGGCTTTAAATTCCCAAATAATTTCCTGCTTCACCCTGGCATAAATCAGAGCTGAGCCAGCAGAGGGGATTGGACACCAGCCCTCCAGTGCAGGTTGGCTGTGTCCCTTCAGTCTTCATTGATAAATGATGCTGATAGTGCTGATAAATATAGTCAGAATTGTTTTCCCCATTTCCTAAAAATATTCCTGATGGAACATGTTTGTCTTTCTATTAAAAATGAGCTCTGGCCTCAGCCAAGATGAAGCCTGAGGTGCTGTGAAGTGAACAGTGTTTCCATTTCCTTGCACACCTCTAAGCCCAAAAAATTCATCCGTTGTTAGGATGTTTCTAGTGCAAACTTGTGAGCAGCTTGAATGAAAGATGATCTAAATATATACAAATGAGAAGCAGAAATGCTTAATCCTGTAGGCTTTGTTGTGACTCACATGCCATTTCTTACATCTGTTAGAAGGTGTATAACCAATTTACTTTCCAGAAATAAGATGTCTTTTTTTGAAATTATATGAAACTGTGCTTTTGAGTGAAGCATGGAGAATTTCTGAGATAGTGCTGAATTATTTTAGCTCCAATTAGTATCTCTTAAAATCCACTGTGGAGCAGAAGGGCCCCAGAAGTCTCCCAGGGGAGCTCACCTCTCCTTTCTCTGCAACACATCCCAGCCTTCCCTGAGAGTCTCCAAATGGAGAAGACCACACAACTCTCCAATTTCCACATAAATCAGGCCCTTGCCAATGACAGCACTGCACACCAGCAGCCTGCTGTGCCGGGTCAGGGTGGCTGGTCCAGAATGGAGAGCAATTTGACAGTCATTGATTCCAGATGTTGCAGAGAGGTTCAGGCTGTGAGATCTTGCCTAGCCTTGCTTCTGGCAAAGTTCAAGAGGGTGGATGCATGTATATCTTATTTTATTGCTCAGTTCTCTTTACGACTAGGGAAGGACTTGCTCTCAAAGCAAAGTACACATTGTTTACATAGCATGAGCCTCCACTGGGCTGCAAGCATAGGATTTTAATCACATTTTACAAATGTCTTTTGCAGACTCGTTTGCAAGCTGGACAAGGATATGGAAATACAATCAAGTGTGTTCTCACTGTGTACAGAAATGAGTCTGTAAGTACTTCATTGTACTTTAAATGTGCTGGTAGAAAGTGCAAGTCAATAAATAGATAAATACATAATGCAATTGTACAAAATGCTGTTGACACCAGCAGTTATATAAAGACCAATAAAGTTTATGCAATTGAGCCTGCAAATCAAAAGCCTTCTCTTGCTTAACTCTAAGGTAACCCACTTGGTGACTCATGTAGGGAAAAGAGAGATCTCTGGCATGGAATTATCATTGTCTCCACATGGGTTGCATCCACAGTGACTCTTTTGCCTGACCCCACTGGCAAAGGTCTCCCAGAGGGATTTTGCTGACTTTGGTGAAGCCAGAACAAACGCTGTATGAGGCAATTTTACTTGGGTTCCCGCGCTTTCAACCATATCCTGTATTCTGCACAGTCTTTATAAGCCTTTAGCAGCATGAACCAATTTCCTTTGCTCAGCATGTGCAAACAGTTGGATCCAGAAGACATCTGCTACTTGGATTTGCATTTCATCCCTGACTATGGCAGGGGATTGGAATGAGATGACTTTCAAAGTCCTTTCCAACCCAAACCATTGTGTCATTGTGTGATTTCTAACCTGATAGACAAGCTGGGGTTTACACTGCTCAGTCCTGCTCAGTCTTCTAAGCCCTGCTCCCTTTCCTGGGTAGCTGACCGGCTTCTTCAAGGGCATGTCGTTCCCACTGGCCAGCATTGGCATCTACAGCTCGGTGGTGTTCGGTGTCTTCAGCAACACGCAGCGGTTCCTCAGCCAGCTCCGCCACGGGGACCCGGCCGCCGCGCCGTCGCTCGCCGACATGACTCTGGCCAGCATCGTGGCAGGGGTCATCTCTGTGGGCATTGGCACTCCCGTGGAACTGGTCAAGATAAGGCTACAGATGCAAACACAGCCATACAACAAAGGTAGGAAGCAAGAGGTTTTTCTTCCTGTCTCTGCCAGTCCTTGATACATAAGCAGAGCTTTACAATAACTTTGTTCAAGGCCGGGCTTTCTGCTATCTTGTGCTGCTGCAGTTGGGCTAAAAATTCCCCCTTTTGCCTGAGATTGGACCCTATCCTGTTCAGCTTAAGGGTAGGGTTTTTATCAATGGCTTTATCAATTTCCAGCCAGTCAGAATCTGAAGGAACATGAGGCAGGTCTGATCAAGACCAGAAGCTCTAGAAACTGTGAGTCCCTGGGCTGTGGGGTCCCCTGGAGATCCCAGCAGCAGCACCATGGCTGCCAGCAGCAATGCCAGCTCCCCATCTCCCTCTGCATGCTCTCAGTCCCACATGCATTTGCCCATAAACCTGCGTTATTTCTTCCTTCTTTGTTCAAAACCAGAAGTTTCCCATTTACATTTAAAGACCACTGAGTTATTTCACACAGGGTGCCAGATAGCCCAGGTGTGAGCAGGATGGGTCAGGGAGGGACACGAGATGATGGCAGTGGGTGGCTGCTCCCTGTGCACAAGCTGCAGGCAGAAGGGGCTCTAGACAGCAGCAGAATTCCATTGCAGGCTGCCAGCATGGAGTGAACCCCACCAGAGCACATGTACAGACTAAAGAAGACAAGGAGCAGCTTCAGAGCTGAACCACTTGGATTTCAGCATTTCACCTTTCTCACAATTACAGTAATGGCGTTTAACTGTGAAATGCTGTCATTTTTCTGTTGCTTTGATAAAATATTATGTCCATTTTTAAAGCCTCCATGCAGCTTAGCAACCTAATGCCTTTTACAAAAACAACCTGGTCTGCATGGGAAGGTCCAGACTCTGGAGTTGTTAAGGCTTTCAAATACATGACTTGACATAAGTTGAAGTTAAAATCCATGAAAATCTGGCACATTGCCTTCAGCTTATTTGGATGTCTCACTGGGCACATACCTCTTGGGAGGTAGGCCATACATCTAAGAAAAGTCTGTCTTGAGGTGTCTAAATATTTTTTGAAAATGAACCTAAATACTCTCTCCTAAAACTTTTTCCCCATACTATCTGTTAACCCTAGAAATTGGATGGCAGTGAGTTCTGATCAACGGCATTGGGCTTTGGAGAGCAGTTCTGTGCCAATATATCTATTCTAACAGTTGTGGTTTGGTTTTCTTTGCAGCAAATGTTAAACTAAATTCCACAGCTCCCGGATCTCCTGTGTACCGAGGCCCAATTCACTGCTTAAGGACAATCATACAGAAAGAGGGGATAGCAGGAGTATACCGAGGCAATGTAGCAATGCTCCTGAGGGATGTTCCTGGGTACTGCGCCTATTTCATCCCGTACGCGATGTTCTGTGACTGGATAACTCCTGATGGAAGCATTTCTCCTAATCCCTTCTCTATCTGGGTGGCAGGGGGTGTAGCAGGTAAGCAGCTTTACTTCCTCACAGCATTGGCAAAACAAGAGCAGGAATGTTCTCAGCAGATTACGAGGGTGACTCAAGGGCCACCGCATCCTCCTGAATGCCAGCAGAGGACATGGGACTGAACGACCTTCCTTCCCCAGGGCAGGGTTCCCTGGCACCACAGCTGCACTTTATGACTTGACAAACGTTATGGAAGTCATTCTCAGACCTTCATTGGGCTCATTGTCAGTGAAGAGGAGAACAGACAGTGCTTTCATCTCCCTGGATGCCTCAGGGCAGCCTGCCAATCACATTGCCAGGGATGTGTGGAAGCCAAGGTGCCTCCAGAAGAGGACTTCAACCTGTTGGCTGCCCACCATGAGGGTGTGCACCTACCCACACCTAGCAGAAGGCCAGTTGACTGTTACTGATCTTTTTCCATGTGTACACTTGCCAGTAAAACTGGCATGTGCATCCCTCACCATGTGAAAGGTCACCCCTACTCCCACTCCCCACTTTTTGGCCATTTCTAAATTGCAGATCCATAAAGGCAAGTCAATCCTTAGCTCAGGTAATGCTAACAAAATGCCTTCTCCATTTCTCCTCAAATAAAGAGGGCCCTGGTACCTCTGGATAGCTTTTCTAGTGTGTCCCAACACCCACATAGGTTCAGACAAACTCTTGTCTGTCCAGCTGGCCCATGGATTGCAGTGATGCACTGATCTTTCCAGAGGCAAACCATCCCACCCAGCTCAGATCAGTGGAAATAGGCATTTCTTTAGAGGAATGACAGGGTATCTCACTGCGTGGAGCCTCATCCTGGCAGCCTGAGATGTACCTACCTGTTATTTGTATCCTCAGCTCAAACTTTGCTTTACAATGGAATTATCAGAAGACTCCATTTTTAGTGATATCATCCCAAGTGGCAGCTCAGGCTCTTCCCATGGCATGTCCATGTCCCACCAGAAGCAGAGCAGATTTTCACCTGGAGAAGCCCTTCTTGGGTTGCCTGCATCTGATCAGGAGCAAAACCTCCAAAATCTGAACACTTCTTCCAGAAACAGGGAACTTTCTCCCAGAAATGCTGTTTCTGTGGCCGAGCAGTGTGAATGTCCTGACATGAAAATCACATGAATATGTGATAGATGTGAATTTCTGAGTTCACTGACCTGCGGGCAAGGAAGTATAGAGAAGGAATTATTCAAATACTTCTGCATTTTTCCAGGAGCTGTTTCCTGGGCAGTATGTACTCCAATGGATGTTGTGAAAAGTCGACTTCAGGCAGATGGAGTTTACTTAAACCAGTACAAAGGGACCCTTGACTGCATGTTGCAGAGCTACCAGAACGAGGGCTTAAAAGTAAGTGGTATTTGAAGTTAAATCTGGTTATTAGGTATTTAATTGTCAATTGGAAAATACAGTGTCTGTTAAAAACCTATCTGCTGTGTTGAGAGACAGCTAAAGCCAGTTACTGCTGAATTACTGTAATGGTAGTTGGTAGTTATAGTGTAGATTCCTTCTAAATCAAAATAGTGAGAGTAATAATGCATGTTACATAATGAAGAAATGAATGACTGGGAGTCACACTCTGCTAGTGTAATTAACTTCAAACAACATTCCATGTTAGTGCACTTAATCATGGATATAATTTGACTTATCATAAATCAGAGGTAGAAAGTCTTTCCTCTGTGATTCTTCTGCAAAATGCAGAGGTCAAATATTCCCCGTTGACTTTGGTGTCAATGAACTGATTCCAAGGGGACTGTCCTGGCACTCTGGGTGTGCCTGGTCACCTTGGGCAATGCTTTGGTGGAACTAATGCTGCTTTTGCACTCCTCGTCCTCATTCTGCACCAAGATAGAGTTGATTGTCAGCGTTCTTAAATCAGAATTGCTTTAGTTTCGAACATGAAGGGCTGCATGCCAAACAACTTATCTCCTTTTTCTGACTTTGTCTGTTAAGAGCAATAAAAGATATTTGTTCTACCTGCAAACTTTGCCTCAGTTAAATATGAATGGCAGAGAATAAGGGTTTGCAGCTTTATTGTGTTGCCAAGGCATGGTTGTGGAAGTAATGTCTTCTGATATTGAAATACATCTGTATTTATCATCGGAACAGCACGTTGTGTCTTAGCTCCAAAGTGCTAATTTTCACATTCTGAGAGAAATGTAACAAGTTACAAACAGGAAAATAACCTGCAAAATCACATGTCAGTGTGATTCCAGTATTTGTTCAACATGCCACTATGTTATGCCAGCTGTCACAGGAGCCTGTGGTCTGGTTCAGCTTTTCAACTGACTGAAGAAAGTGTCACATTCACATTCATGTGAAGCATAAGCACATGGAGAGATGCTCAGGAATGTGCTTGGACAATCAGATGGGGGACAGGGTGCCAAGGCTTTATGGTACATGCCTTGTGCATTCCACTTGCTGCTCACTTTCACAGCAGGGTGGCTGAAACAGGAATTTCCATGGGTTTTCCCTTCTCTCTCCATCCTCATCCTCATCCTCATGCTCATCCTCATGCTCATCCTCATCCTTATCCTCATCCTCTGCCCTCCTTGTCCTCCCTGAATTAACAGTTAAAAGAGTTTTCTGGTAGAGTTCTATACTTCTTGTAGTTTTCCTGCTGTCACATCTGGCACCTGCCCCAAAGCCATCAGTAGGATTGAGTAACTAGTTGATAGCAAGACTGGATCCTGCTCTTGTAGGGAAAATATTTTTAAATGTTGAGAGACTCACAACTGACAAATGGCAAATCCAGAGCTGGATGTTTTCATTCTGGGACAAAGGAACAGCATTCTCAGTGTTGGAAATAGCTGCCTGATATACACAAAGAAATACAACAATGCCCTTGTCTTTCTCCATTGCCAGGTGTGTTCATTCTGATAAGAAAAAATTATGTCTCTGGACTTTTCATCCTGATACTTTATTATTTAACTTGTGTCTCTTGTGTTACATTATAGATAATGCAAAAACATTGAATTCCCTCTCAAAAACTTCTCTTTCCTAAGAAAATAAAATATCCCCAAAAATCAAATAATATTCTAAATGTCCCAACACTGCAATTTCACATTGCAAGCTTTATCTAAACTATGTGAACATATTTTGATTCTGTCTGAAAACAAGTCAGCACTACACTTAGGATTTATTGGACACAAGATATGATGATGTTTAGTACAGTTCAGTAATTTCAGGGGAAAAATTGCTTATGTGCTTAAATATAAGGGCTTCTGATCTCAGGGCCAAGATTTTTCATTGTTTTTACAGTAGCTGTGGGAACTTTCCTGTTATAAAGCCTGGAAAGGGGTTTGATTGCTGATGCTCCTTTTCACATCTGTTGTGAACTTGTGGTATTTAGATTAGTGACTTGTGGTGATGAGCCTTGGTGGTTAATGGAGCAATTTTGTGAGAAACAGGCCAGCAGAGATACCCCCTGGAACCATCATATTGTGAGCAGACTCACCCCAAAGTGAGCAGTTTGTGCACATCTTTGCACACACCAGGGTGAGGTGCTGGTGGCAAAGGAGGTTCAAAGGGAAACAAGTCAAGGCCAGGAATCAGGAGTGACAAGACTTTTTCAAAAGCACTTTACTGTTCAAGCATTTAAAAGCCACATAATCATTTGCTCTTGTATGAGCCAGCATCTTTTAAAAAGAAATATATTGACCAGAAAAAGGAAACCTTGAAGCTGGTATTTATTATCTTTATTAAAGAAAGTTCTGAGTTACATATGGGCACTGAAGTTTGACCTTAGGAAGACTCATGGGAAAATATGAGCATCTATCAAATATTTTTCCCAAAGGCAGTAGTGAGAGAGTTCTCAGCAAGGTACAGAGGAGGCCTGGTTTTCAGTTGATTGAGAAATTCCTTCTACACTCAAAGGTGAAACCTGAAAAACTGTCCCCACACGGCTGGGCTGGCTCACAGCCACACCGCTCCCTCCCCACTTGCCAGCATCTTCTGTGCCCACAGACCCAGCCCTGGGGGTCAAAACATTTCCTGCATGAAAACTCCTTCTTGTACCCCGGGATTTGTATGATTCCCACATGTTTATGCATGCCAAAGGAAGGAAGGTCAGGCTGGACAAGGTCTGGAGCAATGTGGTCTAGGGGAGGTGTTCCTGTCCATGGCAGGGCCCACAACAAAGTGCGCTTGAAGGTCCCTTCCGACCCAGAGCACTCCGTGGTCCTGTCACCCTATGACTGTAGCTAGGTAGGACAACACAGGAAGACATTTTAGATTTCTTACTTTCTGTTTTATACCAGTTCCATGAGCCCAGTTTTTACCCTTTACCTCTTTACCTCTGGCTGGTATCTACAGATGGGGGTCTATAGGGAGTGCAGAGCACAGTGATGCCAAACCAGTGACTTCTGATGTGTTCCCCTTCCCCAGTGCAGACCTCAGCTAAGACCAGCAGTGGGAGCGTGTCTTCCAGGCAAACCCAAAAGGTTTGGTTCTTCAGAATCCCATCATGACTTCATTCAACTTTTTCTTCCTCCTCTTAAAAAAATCAGTGTATTCCTATGCTCTAACCTTGCTCCATTCCCAACAGGTCTTTTGTAGGGGCCTCATGGTCAATACACTGCGAGGATTCCCATCAAGTGCAGCCATGTTTCTTGGCTATGAACTTTCTCTCAAAGCAATGAAAAGATGCCAAACTGAGACCAATCCCTAACTTCCAGGTCAGCACATAAAGACCCTCTAGCTTTATTCAAATTACAGAATTAATCTTTGAATCAAATAGAGTTGCAATTGTATAGATCCTCTGAAAGTCATATGACTTCCATGGGTACCTACACCTGAATAGCAAACACACTTTAGGTCTGTGGGATTCAGAGCAGACTGCAAATGTGCCAATGGATTTTACTTTCAGTCCACATCTCCTGGAGCTTCACTGTAATCTGTTCTCATTGTTATGATTATTTTAATTAATATCAATCAGAAATAAAAATTTGAAAGGAGATTATTCTCTAATGTTTTATAATTTTTGAAATATCATTTTTATATAGTCCCTGCACAGTACTCTTTCCTCAATTTTTGCACCCCGAAAGATATGAAATTAAGCTCTTTCAGGGTGTCTTGACTATCAAGCCACTGTTTCACTCTTTCCCTCATTAACTTTGAGTTGTATAAAGGAAAAGCATTATAAATATATGATTAAAGAAACTTTTTTAGCAGCTAGATACTCAATATTTTTCTTGCCGTCTTTGCTGTTTTCTGCAGTACTTCATAAATCTCCTTCTTTCTTATTTCAAAAGTGTTGCCAAGAAGACCAGAAAGTCGCCTACTTTCCTGAGCCAGATCAGCAGTGTGGTGCTGGTGAGGGCTCAGCTGCTCTGACCAAAGACTCCCATCCTTCACCTACAGCAACTGCTGTGGGCACGTGGTCCATGGAGGACTCTGAAAATCACACCAGCTCAATCAGATCCAAAGACTATTTTATTATCAAATCTTTCACTGTTGACTAAGAACACCTTGGTAATTCTGATGGTGGTGGTGTGCTTCTTCACCAGTGACATTTTTCCTGTTGAACCAGGGAGACAACTTGCTTCCTTTCCCTAGGGATGTACCCAAACCCAGCTCACCTCAAATCACCAAGGGAGTGTCTTTTGTACATGGTGCTATAACACTCAGCTTCTTTGGTGAACAAAGAAAGGAGGAAATGTGGTGGGTACACAGGTGCTTTTTCTGTGGGAAGGTCTGGATTCCCACCAAATCCCAGCTTGCTTTCAGGTTCAAAAAAGTGTGTGACTCTTCCCATACAAATATTTGTGTTCTACAACAGTTTGGCACAATTTAACACATTATCATGAAAAATGTAAAGGCTTCAACCACTTCAGTCTGCTATCCAAGGTATAAATTAAATTGGAAAACAGGAGGATGTTAAATTCAGAGACTAAGCTGCTTTTTTAATATAGAAAACAATAAAATAAGTCTGCATTTCATACAGAAGGCTGCCTATTAATTTACACAGCTTGCCTGGTGCAGCCCTCCAGGGACCAGCTTGAAGTATCTCATCAGACCTTCTGAGCTCCCTGACATGATCTGCCAGCTGCCAAAACCTGCAGACATCACTTTGTAGCGGTGAGCAGACCATCACCAAAGGAAGTCTCTAGGACACAGTACACTTCAGACCTCCAGCTCTTTGCTGGAATCACAGAGACCACTGGGGCAGGCCCAGTCTCTCTTTGGTCTACCTCAGCCTCTCAATTATTCCAAGATCTTTTACATCATGATTATTTCTCTTTATGCTGTTTAATATCCTTATGATTTATTTTCTAAGCATGGAGTTTTTGATGTCAAATCCCAAGAAGAACCAGCCTTGCTGTGACAAGAGGACTTCGGTGGCACTGGCAGGGGAGGCCAAGGGGGCTCCCATACAGAGGGACACATGACATGGGGAATAATCTAGGACAACACTTCATCTGGGAAATGTTCTAGAGGAGCAGCTCTTCCTCTGGAGAAGAGCTCTGGGGGAAAAGCCCAGTGATTGCAGTTTCAGCAGATGCCTTCAAAAAGAGGTTTTCTGAAGACAATGTGGAGCAGCTGTTGTCCAGCCTTCCTCCAAAAAATGCGAAGGAAACAGAAACTCCTACATCCTCCTCCCTGGATGAATGGGGAAATTGGTCACAACACTTGAAGATCTCAGCAGAAAGTGCCTAAAACTTTGGGTCTGGAGCAGACTTGGAAATGGGGTCATGTTCTTTGGTCTCCTCATCACTGGGGCCCAGATTGAAAACAGAAGTGAGGGTGTTTCCAGAACTTAAAATGGAGAAGGATCAGCTTGTATTGCTTCATCTCAAGACTTCACTGTGAGAAAGCTCACAGTGCCTTTGACCTTCTTTAGGACACATGGAACAGTTTTTGATAAACAATATGGAAAAAATTGATGAACCTTCACACAAGTATTTGTTGCTGGCTACATTTAAGGTTTCATCATTGCCACGCTGCCTATTTTTTATGCATCTATGTAAAACATGTTTTTTAGATGGATAATATCATGCATCTCCAGAGATAATACTTGGGCAGACTGTTTTTTTAATATAAATAAATGGTGTGTTATCTGCCTGCATAATGTAAAATGGACCATGAATTAATTAAACTGATGAATTCACAACAAGCTGTGTATCTGCATGACCCTGCCCTCATGGTGCCCAAGTTTGATCCATTCAGTGCTCTCTGGGTATAGAGCCCTGAGAGCCACATTGGAGTTGCATGGTGATATTTCATCATATTATTCATCCAATTAAACCAATTTTGAAATTGGAGCCCAGGATTTGCCTGGACAAAACTCTCGTGTAGCACACACCCACCAGAAGGAGCTGTCAGGGAGAGCCATGGGCAACTTGGTGTGGAAAGGGAGCAGAGGGCAGAACGCTACTCAAAATTATAGAAATATATATAACATAAATATAAAAGCACAAAAATCAAGTGGGAAGTGAATATAAAGCTTTGGCCACTTGATGGCATCCTCATCCCTGGCAGGGCATGTCCTGCTCACTGGAGCTGCCAAGCAACCCCTCTGTGTCCTGTCCATTCTACCCCAAGCCCAAGTCTGCTGCCCAACCAGCACACATTCCCTTCCCCATGGGCAGCCCCACACTGGACAGCCTCTAGATGATTTTGGGGTGGCCCTGCCCTGCCAAAGGCTGCCCTGGTCTGGCAGCACTGGAGGCAAGCCCTGGACACACTGGTTAATCAGTGCATCACCCCTTTAGCATTCACAGATAAACCACAAAAGAGGCAAAGCAGCTGCAGGGGTTTCAAGGATAACAGCAGCACAGGCCACTGTGAAGGAGATTTGGCTGCCTCTGGGCCACTGCTGGTCACCAAGGACACCTAAGGGTTGGGACAAGCAGCTTTTGAGGCACAGCACTCTGTGAAACCCCTCGCTGTGACTGATCACACCCCTGGGAAGTGCTCAAGCCCAGGTTGGACAGGGCCCTGCTTTAGTGGAAGGTGTCCCTGCCCACGTTAAATGGGTTGGAAGGAGATGAGATTTAAGGTCCTTTCCAACCCAAAGCCTCCTATGGTTCTATGATCCCTGCACATGGAGACTGATAGTTTGGTCTTGCTTTTGCAGTAGAGTGTGTGGCTGTGTCAGCAGAGAAAGGGGTCCTGTGGACACCACCAGGGGACAGCCCCATGTCCCAAAGATGAGGGATGGCAATTAAAATTTATACACACAGAGATGTGACAAGTCTGTGTCTTGTGAATAATCTCCTGTATGACATATCAAACACATTAATTTTTGGAAATAATCTCAGTATCATTATCCATGGATAGAAATTACAATCTCCAAAGAAATTTTCAGGGACCCGGTGATGAGAGTTTAAAACTGCCTTTCCTGGGAGGCAGACAGACAGACACACAGCTGATTCAGTGGGGCACTGGTTACATATGTTGATGATTTTTTCTCTGAATTACAAAAAAAATGGTGCCAACAGAATTCAGAATACGGACCCAGCTCATTTGTAAGTGCTCTGTCTGTACTGCTGTGCCATCAGTGGCATGTTCCACACACAGGCTGGTGTGGTAGAAGCCATCTGCTTGGTAGGTTGTTCAAGGTATTTACAGAGCCCTTCATTTCTAAAATAAATGCAGTAAATCTGAAATTGTCAAAAAATGAGAAGATAGACTAGAAGAACCAGGGATAGAAGAACTAGAATACATACTTTTATGTGTTTGTTGCCTGGATTATGAAAGCATATTCAGACCTGCCATCCCTCAAGTAAGTCTGTAATTACCCAGCTTTCATGTCTCTGGTGTCATTCCAGCTCTTACAACAGATTGTATTACTTAATGAGAGGCTGGCTGTTTTTCACACTTTATAAACTATTAAGTGCTATGAAAGGAAAAAGTGGTAACAGCAGCTTATTTCCTTAATTGAAAAAGCCCAATCAAATAAGAACCAATTTCCCAGTGAAGATCTATTTTTCTATAAAACAGCCCTGACTTGGATGAAGGTCTTTGGGGCTGGGAGAATCTTTGTGATGCCTATGGTGCATGGAGTGGGAAGAGGCTGGCACTGCCCAGCAGTTTAGCACTTACTGAAACCCTGCCTGTAAAGGTCTTTTCCAACCTAAATGATTTTATGATGGCTCTAGGCCAGGCTGAGATTTCCTCACACCTTGGAGTCCCTGTCTGGTGCTTCCCCACCACAGGGGAAGGCAAGATGACAGTCCACATCTCCGTTTCTCCTTTTCTGAGACAGAGCTTTTGCAAGCATTAAGATGTATCTCTGGTTTATCTGAAGTTCTTTGTTTTGTCATAGAGGTTGTTATAGTAGAGATTCTTCTCCTAGGTGTGGCATTCATATCAGCCAGGAAGGCCAATGCCTGTCTTGTACTTGGAAAGAAAAAATTAAAGTGCAGAGCCAGAAAAATGATGAGATCCAAGGAGACAAGTGGGAAGAAGTTCAAGTGCTAAATTGAATTTAAACTGCACAAGAACAGCTTCCTCTCTCTACAACCACCTTCTTCCTATATATGCTCCTTGAGTAATGCAGAGACTGATCACTGCCAGCCTAGATAAGCAGTATGCAGAGTGGCCTTCCAGAGACAGGCTCCAAAACAAATGAAGCCATGAAGTGAAGGGAAATTGAAGCAGTCACACCAATTTTCAATCAGGCAGTTTTCCTAAACTGTAGATCCTGTGACAGCTCCAGAATCAGACAGACACAAGTGGAACAACCAACCTGTTAAGAGCCACTCATGCAGCAGAAGCGTATTTTTAAAGGGATTTTAGAGGTCCCATGTGCAGTTTTGCTGTAAGATATAAAGTGCTGGATACATCAAGAAATCTCTGCTTAATCAGGGTGAAATTCTAAGGCTACTGGGCTGTACTACACCCAGTCTTTGAAGAAAATACAAAGGTCCTCTTCGAGTGATGGAGAAAGTAATGAATAATCTTGAGTCACAAAGAGAAAGATTTGGAGATGCCAGAACCTTGCAAGTGGGGAAAACCACGTTGAGACTGCCCTGCCACCAACACCTGCTACATCAAACTGGGTCCTGCATGGCCTCACCTCTGAAAGCACCAACACTTAGCTCATCTTCATGGACTCCTCTACTCTCCCATGTTTCAAAACATTTTAGCACTATTGTAGCCTGCTTCACACACAGTCTAGAAACACATGGTATAGAAATCCTGCCAATTCTCATGGATAAGGGCCAGCTTGTTCTTACTTA